ACCCCACCTCCAGGGGCTGCCCCCACCCCCTCTTCATTCACATCAGCAGCAGCACAGCCATCACTATCCCAGCATGCAACGGGACATGTACACGAAGGCTGAGCCTCTGATGCCACAGTTCACTATAGGACAGGGCATGTCACCTGGCGATCTGCATCATGCTCAGCAGTCACAGATGCTTCATCAGCTACTCCAACAGCATGGAGCAGAGTAAGTTCTTTGGGAACAAGGATGGAAAGATAACAGAGGAATGCACTTATGGCTGGAAGCTTTTTGCCTCTTTATGCTTGTTTCATTTCCTGCCTTAAGGGCAGCCTTAAGTAATAATGAAGCTCCTCCCCACCAAAAGTGGCAGGGCAAGCTACTGTATATAAACAGGGAACAAACCCCACACTTATTTGCACTGATGATGTTACCCAATTGGGTAATGAGACATCTGCAAACAACCAAGCTCAGAGAGCACCAAGGACTCCATAGTTCAAACCTGAGCTACATATATTCTTTTCTGTTGGAACCTATTTTTATTTTTACTTCCGTTCACTCTGCTGACAGTTATTTGTTTAGCTTTTATTTTCATCAAGATTGCTCTGCATTTTTTTGCCTCTTTTATTCTTAACCATTCCTTGCTTTCTTTAATTACATTCTATCTTATTCACATTATACAGTATCCTTCTCTCATCCTCGTTTTTGCATCCTCATCCTCTAGCTTAAATTTTCTTATCCACAGTTTCTTTCACTTCATTATTCCACCAACCATTCCTTTTCATTAGTGTAACTCCATGTAATTATTTTCATTCTAATCCAAGCAGCTTCCAACTTCCATTTCTTTTTTCTACTTTCTGTTCCTTATTTTGGGAGATTAATCTGTGTTTTAATACGTTTTATATGACTTATACATGCTCTTCTGTAGACATTCTATTTTCATTCTAGTTTCCTTCACATTTTTTCTTTTTCTCCATGTCCATCTTTTCCACAAGATACATTTTTGACACTACTAAATAATGGTCTGGTCCATATTTGGAACTTCTTATCATTCTTGCATCCTTCACTAATTCTTTCAATTTTCCATCATAATCAAAATAATCATACTTTTTGATTAATTTCTTTTATAAGTGTCTATGTAAATAGAGGTATATATTACAGTATGTTTAAAACATACACTTTTCTAAGCAGATGTTCAGTGAACAGTCTCTATTCTCTTTCATTCTTTGGTCTCCAAATGGCCCAATCCATTTTTCTGTGCTCTTTTGTTTCCTCCTACTCCTTCAATTCATGCCATCTAACAGAATATTTTTTTAATTCCTTGGATTGCTGCACGATATTTCCTAAAACTTATTTTTGTGTCTTCCATTATCACCATTTACTGGAACATAGCATGCACCAATCATTAGCTTATTGTTTCTTACATTCACAATATCATAGATAACATCAGTTCATACTTTCTGGCATATATTTTAGCTCCTTCATTCATAATTAAACCTGTGTCTTCACTTCTGCTCATGAATTCATCACCACCACAATATCAGACTAACTCCATTTAGATTGATTACATCCTTTTCATTTCCATTAGTTTCATAAATGCACAGCATATTTTTCTTTCTTTCATTTTTATTTCATGCTCTTTAACATTTATTCCTTTTACATTAAAAATCACAGTCTTTCATATGCTGTGGTGAACCCATAGATACTGACCTGCACTGTCCAATAATGGATTTGGTCAACAGAGGCTTTCACATAACATTTTTAGTAGAAGAGAAATTATAGACTAGATCTTAGCCATACCTCTGCCACATGCAGTGTTTCCTGCTAATGATAAGAACAGTATTGGTCAATTCTAGCTAATATGCCAGAAATGCAATCAAGCCCAGTTTTATCCCAAGCATGGTTAACTATTTTATGCAAACCAAGATCTCTAATCTAGAGACCTCTTGAAAGCCAACATGCTGTTGCCTGCATCCCACTAACTAGGAACTGCATGCAATATATTGTTGCATAGGATACTGGATGACATTCATTGTTTGCTTTATTATATGATCATGTCAGACTGTTATTACGATGCACATAGGTCAGGGTGTGACTCACATCTGGCCCTGTCTATTAGTTGAAGGCCAGTAATCTAGTTTAGTCTTTCCTACTGAAACATAACTTTATTTATGTCTGGGGTGTACAAGAATGGTGGGTATGTATAAGTATGTCCATAGGCTAAATTTGAATAAATATTTCCTTTGTATGCCTGTTGTAATTTATGATTGACTTCCACAGCCTTCCAGTGCACCCTGCCAAGAAGAGGAAACACTCAGAGTCACCATCAAACACTCTCAATGCCCAGATGTTCAATGGAATGATAAAACAGGAGCCAGGTACAGGATCTGTGCCACTCAACTCTGACAGAGTCCCAACACCTCCCTGGCATCAGCAGGGGGCTCTCTCCCCAGGTTTGTACTGTACAGTAATTCTTTCTATTCCTTTCTAGTACTACCAGTACCCTGATACTATTTATGCTCCAAAGAGGTAGAGTTCTATTGAGTAGTACATGGAGAACAAAGAATAGAATCTGGGCTGAAGCTATCAGAATGGCAGTATATTTTCATGAGAGCATCTTTGTCTGACCACATTGAGTGAGAGTGGGAAGTGAGAAAAGTCCCATAAGTTGTGTAAAAAAAAAAAAAAAGGAAGAAAACTGTTTGACTATTCCTTGATTATATGAGGCAAAGAAAAAAAAATTATGGGGTTTGTTGCATAATGAGTAAGGAATAGAAAAGTGGGATAAAAATAAATAGTTTGCATCTAGTTTGTAGGTATATGTCAGTTCAATTTTTTTCTATTGCTGCAGGACTGATTCAGGATAATGACAGTTTGAATAGCTCATCCTACTTGGATCCGAACTACCAGTCTATAAAATGGCAGCCACATCAGCAGAACAAGTGGTCGACTCTGTATGATGCTAACTACAAAGAGCTGTAAGTAATTACAACCATATGACTGTACTCCTCTGTCTAACACAGTATTTCTCAACTTAACAACTTTAAGATGGGTGGATTTTTAAATTTAAAATGTATATTTTGGATTCACATTTGTAATGTGCTTTTTAAAAAGGGGGTTCAAGAAAAGGGAACATATTTGTTGTTCTGTGGCCCACAGTCAGCAACTTTTCTATCAGTTTAGAAAGAGCAAAAAGTTAGCATGAAAAATCAATTTGGTCAAAAAAATCCAAAACAGAAAGGTTGAGTGGACACACTAAAGAGAGAGAACATTTAGGAAAGGGCAGTGGGATCTGGCTTCTGGAAGGAATGGTGCAAGATAAAGATGGTGAGATGTGGAAGTGTCACAGGTGAAAAACTAAAAGAGGAGAAAGAAAGGAGGAGGGAAATTTAGATATACTGTGCTCTGTAAGCCACCTTGAGTTCTGGGTATATTTAAATAGCTGTTGAAAGATGAAGAAAAGGGACAATGGGGGTGCTATGTTTATGCAAAGGACAGAAAGAAATTGGGTGCATAATTTACAGGGCAATGGGAGAGCCAGTGATGGAGAGCAATCTAGGTGATTTGGATGGACAGAAGAAAGGTAAAGGAGCCACATAAGGTGAGAGCAAGAGGCTGAAGAAAGCCAGCTTACAGGGTAGAGTTTACAGCTTACAGAGCGAGAAAGACAAATGTTCAAGAGAAAAAAATGCTGCACATCCTCCCTACATTCCAGAAAGGTGATAGAGAATTGGCAACCAGCCAGATGCAATCTGGGAATGGCCTCCTTTAAAAAAAAATCCTCTCCTTGATTTCTAGACAGCTTGTATCTCCTGTTTGTCTCCATTTGGGGAGAAAGGGAACCCTGGCTTTCTGTGGTACCAAATAAAATGAGATTATTATCTGCCTTCATGAGAGCAATCTGGAGAGAAAGGGTCAGTGATTTACATGAAAGCCAGCTGTGGCATCAGAGGGAGGCTGCCCTTGAATGGCCTAGGATAGCCAAACAAAGCATGCTTTCCACGGCTGCCTTCTCAAGGTCTTGCAAAAAGCAATTTATCTGAGTTCCTTCAAGGTATAGAATGGGAGTAGAGTAAGATATTGATGTATTGCATCAGCCAAAGGGCATATTAATGCAAAAGATTTTACTAACCTTTCCTCTGTATAATTAAAAACCAATTCTACCAGAACAGATTTTTTTTTAAAAAATGTATGTGATGGTAAAAATGAATTAAAAATTCAGTGCCTAATACTTTAAAATTAAAATACTAGTGGTACCTTTTAAATAATTTATCCTTGGGATCCTTTTTTTCTTGATGTTTTAGCACATCTTGGTTTAATGTTGAGCCTTCTTGGCTCCAAATAAGCAGGGACTGGGTGTTTCTTTAATGCAGCAGAATTGGGGGATATCTTTGATGTCACTGCAGGTAATGATTAGCCTGCCTCTGACATTATCAATCAGTATTTCTTCCTAACTTAGGTGAGGATGTCTGCTATAGTAGTGCTACAGGATGGGGGAAAGCAGGAAGGTAACATCATGATGTCATAATGCAGCTTCATTTCTACTCTTAAGTTAGAAGTGAATTTTGCCAGGCTGCTAAGAACAGCCTAACCACTGTGGCAGTGAGGGTGGTGGTTTTTTCAACAAAAGAAAGGGGGGAAAGGTTCGTCAATTTTGTCTTTCAGAATAAGCCTATCTCTTACCAAAAATATCAGAGAATTTGCTTGCCCATCCCTTAAAATATGTCAGCAGTCCCCTTTTTTATCAGTAGTTCCATGAATATGAGAATATGGGTGGGGTTGGCGTAGAGATATTTACCTCCGCCTTATAAGGATTTTGATCTTCGTGCCTCCCCCATCTTTACATGATACTTTCAGAAATTTCTTTGAGGAAATGCAAGCTATCTAAATCCACTGCTAACATATTATTCTGACAAGAAAATGACTTCTGAGCCCAGTTTTTCTTCATATCTGATTATTTTTTTCTGTTCACCTGATAACACCTTCTTATGAAGAAGATATGCTACCCTTAGAGCTTAAAAAGAAACGGTACATCCAGTAACAATGTACCAAAGAAAATAAAACTATTTTGTAATAGGCAGGTGAAAAACCTATCCATAAATTGAAACAATTGGTATTTCATTAGCATATCAAATCATTTAAGAAAATTTAGCACTTCAGTCTAGTTTAAAGATTAGCTTGAAGTTTAGTTAGTGTTTCAAAGATATACTAGGAGATGGTTTGAGATAAAACAAATTTATTAAAAGAGGGGCCATAGAATATATGGTTTCCACGCCAAAGATCCCAGATGCCATCCCCATTCCCAGCTGTAATGATCTGCAGCTTCAGAAATGGAAAAAAAACTTTTGCCTAAGAAAAGCAACTCATTGGATATTTTTGGTTCCTTCAGTTTATAGTGTATGTCCATAAGCAGAACCTCATTCTCACTTGTTACCAAAAACTGCAAGTGTGTGGTTTATCACCAATAAGGTCATTCAGAACAATTCATCTTAAATATAAAGAACCAAATGAATATACAGTGGTTCTTTATATTTACGAACTTAATTCGTTCCGTGACTCTGGCCGCACCCCGAATTGGTCGCAACCTGAAGCAAATTTCCCCATAAGGTTCAATGTAA